TCACACAGCTGTCCACTAAAATACATGTTAAATACGTCCAACGTGTCAATGTCAATCTGATAAAAGTCCATTAGAAAGCGCGCATGTATTGCATGTATCTGTTATACAATGTCAATATTTTTTAATACGTGCAGTAACTTTTTAATTATAAAAGTTTATTTCCATATTTTTATTAATTAATCATATTATTAGGAACATAATTATTCAAGCTAATGGCAGAAGCTCAAACACCCTTATTCATATTTTGAAAAAATCGCTACACTCTAATATATTATAGATGAATCTATAAAAACTATATAATTACATAAACATATTGTGGCATATAAAAGTATGCATTTCAATCTAAACATGGAGAAACCTCAAGAATTTGTGCACCAAAGTCCGCTAATAAAACTCCATTAATACGTTATTATAACAGTTTTATTTCTAGTTGGCAGGGAAGAGGCTCGTGAAACTAAAGCTCTTTCCGAATTTCGGTAGAAGCCCAATGTCACAAAACACAAAATGACTGCCGGAAGGCCCAGCGGTTAAGTTGTCAGGTATTTAAAATCGAGAAATGAGCTCCCCAAGGAAAATTCTAGCTACAGTTTTGCTTCGAATATTATTAACCGTCACCTGTATTCTTAGAACGATTTCGAATCTTATCAGAAAAACGAACGTCAGATGAAAAGGAGATATACGGATACGAGATCTTTATTAATAGGGCCTATTAGTTTTTATTAGAATTTACCAAGGGCAAAGTTGAATATTATATCTTTAAGAATCGACGATTTTCAATGAGCTTTCGAAAACAGTTCTCGAAAACAAGAAATAAACGTAATCGGTGAAAGCAATGAGAATAAGTAACACTCAATTCTAATTTGCCTTGTTAGTAACTAATTAGTACCGAGTATTCGAAAACAAATAGATTAACGTGTTGATAATTGCAAGATTAAAGTAAACAATTGATTGGCGTATTGAAATTTCTTAAGAAGCCAGATCACGCAATAAGTCGATCTCTATTAATTAATGTAATGAGATTAGAATTTTCTACAGCAGAGAGAAACATTAGTTTTGGTATTCGAATTGTCTTGTTCGCTGTTGTGTGAGCTCATAAGGTCCGCATCCGAGAAGTATTCGAATGCCTAGCACGAGTCCTTCGAAACAACGAGAACTTTTTGCAATATTGCATCTTAATTTTTACACGCGAATACTTCATCTTTAGTTGTAATAATTTTGAATTCATTTAGATTCAACCTAGTAATAAAATTGTTTAACGTATGTATAAGTAATCTTACTGCAAAAAAACGAACGTAACTGTGATATTTATTTGCTGTAGTTTAGAGGTAAAAAATCGTACTAAAACCTGTTCAAAATAAAAAAATAATAATAACAATACGATATCGTGCGATCCCGGTTTACACGGGTTTTACTTTAATAACAAAAGGACATTTTCTTGCTAAAGACGTACAGAAAATTGTACAATTACAAACCGTATATAGTATTAGAGAGAGAAAATCTAGTTTTTCGATTCTTAATTGAATAACACGTTGCTTTTATCTTCCTTGTCTTCGAAACGTTTCTTCATATTTTTTTACTAATTAACTTTCGAAATACACTAGACTCTTGCTAATCCGGCCAGTGATTGCAGAGAGGAGTGCCAGATTAGCCAGATTGAGTCCCAAAACCAATGAATGACATGACCTGTCGCCCTTCGGTACTGATTATTTTGTACAGGCGGCTTCGACAAAAACGTTGATTAGCTATTTAATTCCGGTATTATTCATTTGAACTTCAACTGGTGGTAGAGCATTTACACTAGTAAAAACTTGTATAATTTTACGTTGTATAAATTTCGCCAACATGCCAGAAAGCATGTCTCAAACCAAAATTTTAATACATCAAAGGACTTGGGATATAAATTATTGCAATTACTATATTGTAAATATCAGAAAAGAAATAAGNATATGTATGTTCTTTCTTAAAAAATTGGAAGGTCTTTTTGTTGATATGTTAAAGAAAATTTAATACAAAAATTAAAAGGAAAGTTTTGTGATATAAAAAGTCACATTTCTCTTACATTATGAATAAAATCTTATGTTCTTATTTTTTTTCTGATGTTTACACTATAATAATCAATATATTGCTACTTAAAAACACACAATAACGCGATAGGTAAAGTAATAAATTTACATATTTTATATAAAACTAGTGTGAATAATCCTTCTTTATTTCAGACCGAGGAGGTCAGAATTCAACAGCCAATTAATGTTTTTGTTGAAGTTAGGATTAGTTTAGTTTTGGAAATACTGTACACTGTTTTTATTTTCCCGGCTGTTATAACATAGAAAAGTATTGAAGTCGTGTGAAATTTGAACCTCCGGATTTTTTGCACATCTTGACGTTTTGAAAAATGAAAAATAGTTGGCAAGTTCTCGTGTTCGATTTTCTTGATACTCGAACAGAAGGTTAAGAGGTTAAAATATTGAAATAGCCATCATTAGTTTTTCTATTCCAAACTTCGGACTTTTTAAAAAAAGGGGACAAAAGTTATTAGAAAGATAACAGACCATCAAATTAATAGCAACGAATAATATGTAATTAATTAAAATCAATTTTAGTTTTGTATAAAAGGAATAGAACTTTTGCAGTATCCTCAATATACATATATAGATTTAAATATTTATTCTTTATTAAGCTTAGGAGTCCGGATTGAATGAGTTTGACAAAAATAAATAAAAACTTTTTAACGAAAATTATATTATTTAAATACAACAGGTACACTGTCATGCTTTGAAGGTGCCGGCATCGGAGCCAGATGAACAACTCCCAAAACACTTCTTTGGTGAGGGTCCTCCTAGGTTCCTAGATACGTACGAGTTCTGTTCCTCACCAATTAAACGAATCTATGGTGAATATAATTTAAAAGGTTTTATTACTGCTCACAGAGCAAAAAACGTAAAAAAAATTATAATTAAATTTTTATTCATTTGTTTATAATTTGTGAATACATTTATTTTTAGAAAATCATAAATTAAGAAAACGTTGAGACAATATCAACAAATAATTTGAATTCTTATTCAACAATTTGCTTCGACGTTCGTTATTAATTCAACAATTCACGTTTAATTTATAATCATTCTACAAACTTCAATTATTCTACAAAAAACAGGAAAAAAATGCCAAAACGAAAGTATAATAAGAGAAAGAAAATGCCAACAGATCCAGCAAATAAAAAAAGGGTGAAAACGGAATACAACAATAAAATAAAAGAAGATAAAGCTTCGGTACGAAACTATACGAATTCTGCTGATGAAACGGCATCAATTTCAGTAAAATATCATGATAATGGTGATGCAAAGAAGGTTGAAACCATTGAATCAAATAAAGAAGACAATACACAATCTGAATACAGTTGGATTAACAGCATATTGGCTGAAGCTCATTTACTGAGATTGCAGCGTTTATCTAAATGTGGCAAAACGAAACAAGAGTAGTAAGATGTTACCGTATACAAAATTTCATCCACTTTTGAAATACCTGAAATTTCATAAAAGACCACAGAAGAATCGTTTATTTTAGAAAACTTGAATGCAGATGCACAAAATTTCTATAAATAAAACGAATTTTTTAAGTAATGCAGTGCTACATTTCTGTTTTCTAATAGTTCATTTTATTAGGTTCAATAATTTAAAAAATATGCTCAATGAGTTGAACCCAGAAAATTATTTATTAATGCTCGATTATTTATTAAATAATTTGTAAAAATCAATTTATATATTATTTCAACGTTATTCTTTCTATGGATATTTGTATTTGCATCTGTTTTATACAGAATTAGGATAATTTACGAAAATATCTCTGCAGTAAAGTAATATTTACTGCATAAAACGCAGATTTATTAATAGATTTTAGAAAACGTACAGATTTTCAATGGAGAATACGAAATAAAATGTAATTATGTAGACTGATAGACAATTGTACTTCAAAATTGTACAGTACTTCCAGTCATACAGAGATCCATCGACAGATGATTGCAATTTATCAAGTATTATATACATCAATCAATGCATTTTAGATGTCGGAGTTAAATGATGTATATTATACTTGATAGTTTTACAATAAAATAATGGTTTCAAATCTCTTTGTATGATAACACCTAAAGTAACTGGAATATAACAGTATATGAGAACTAATTAATAAAACAAAGGGGATAAAAAGCTAGTCGGTAGACATATAGTATTGTTGTTGGTAAGTTATTGAAGACTATACAGTATAAGGTACAGTATTAGGGTAATACAGTATACATTGCTGTATACTATATTACCCTAAAATTTTTAGCCCATTCCTGTAAAGATAAATTCAGCAATATAACCTACTAAAGCTCAGTGAAACTTCTTTATGGTTCGTAATAAATTACTGTATTGTATATTTACCTTTTCGTTTTCCATGTTGTTGGAAAAACACCCTGTTAATTAACTCAGACTTTCATAAACTCGAATCTTGACCCCCTATTAGTCCGAGTTAGCGAGTTTATTTAATTGTTTACTTTGTAGTTTACACAGCGTATAACTATTATAAGCGTAATAATATTCACTAATTATTTTCTAACTGAAGATACTTTCGTATACCCATGAAAAATAATCTATTACTATATATAATTGAATATATTTTTTAGTATTATGCCTGAAAGAATTTCTTCAAATTTTTTTATTTCGACTCTTTCCATTCATGGGCACTAACAAGGTTTTTTTTTATTATCAAACTCATTACGGATTCGATCAGTCAACAATGGGGAAGCCGGATGCTGAGTTATGTAGCCCGACATATCTCAGATTGTCCCCGAAAAATTCCTGGGATTTTTTGATCTACCTGGATTCGTTTCCGAATCCCCAGAACGGCAGGCTGACACCGTAACATCTCGGCTATTCGGTCGTCATTTTTAAAATTATAAGAATATCTTTCAAAATAATACCAGGAGTTATGTACATTTATATGTTAATTATTATTCTAAATTCCAGAACGAAAGTTGAAATGCTACCAATGTAATTCATATTACAATACCTCGTCCTGCGACGTTTTGGACAAATCTAGTAGCATATATTTGCAAGCGTGTCCAGGTCGGAATGATACTCATTGCAGAATAATGTGGATGGAAGGTATTTCATTGCTTATTTCTAATATTATTAAAATTCTGTTTAATTAATCGTTCCTATTTTTAATAGTTAAAGGAGAGAAAAGAGTAGTGCGTTCTTGCGGTCAGACCCGTCATCACAGGGCTTGTTACCAGACGACTAGCATGGACACCAAGAGTCACGTTTGTGAATGCGAAAAAGACGGATGCAATCAGGCTCCTCCCTTACGTTCGACGCTTGTCAATCTGTTCATAGTTACTTGGATTTCAGTTTTACTTTTCCGGTAATCTTCGTCAAAATGTACTTCTACTTCCACCTGTAAATAATAATTTCAGGATTCAGAGTCTGCCAAACTTGTGTTTCGTGGATGACGTGAAGTTTATTAATTTCCGATTAGCGGAATGGACCGTACGCCGCCTTCAATACCTTGGCAGATTCTGTTACATTAAAGAATTTTAGTTTTTGGGATTGTTCTGTTGCCTGGCTCTTCTATAGATAATTTTAGGTCAGCATTAAAAATACATCTATTCTTCAGGATGATGTACATTTCAACGTCTGTCTGTTGTCAGAAATGAGTGAAGTCCAACTGATATAGGAATGTACATCATCCAATTACATAAATTACAGCAGTATTAATATAATTTATATTGACCCATAACTGTTGTCCATGTAATTTATAATAAAAATAGTTCTATGGTAGCCGAATAAAATTTTTTGTGTGTAATAAAACTTTCGATTAGAATTAAATTTGTAACAATTCAATTTAATTCTAACTTACTTATTATTTAACCTTCGCAACATACAATTTTTCTTTTACATGGAACATACATTGGGATTTCTGTGACCCCATGATAATAATCTAGTTTAATATTACAGTTATAATTGTGATATTAAACTAGATATATTAAATACCAGTACAAATTAAACTATATTATATGTATAATCAATGCAAATATACCTCTAATGGAAATGAGATCATTTTATTGATAGTTTGTCCATACTCCACATATTAAATGGTGCACAGACCAATACTGGGATAGGTTACGTCATCATCTACGTGCGGTCTTTAGGGCCGTCCCTATCATAAAGAGAAAAATCTAATCTCATCTGAAACACTAACTCTATGGAATGTCATAGGTAAGGACATGACTTGAAGCTTCTCAGGCGTTGGCCTTTTCGGTATATCAAGAATGAAAGAAAACGGGATTTTAAAAAATTCTATCTCAGGAACTGCAAATCAATACTTACAGGTTAATGCAAAATCTTATTTCGGAGGAACCGTAACTATAAGAAAATGATCTCCAGATCCATTTAAATGGAATTTTAATCCCTATTTTGTATCTTTTTTACACTCTTTAAAAGCTTTACACCATTTCCCTCTATTAGAATCTTTTTTGTCTTCTTAAAGCCTTCGCACAAAATTACAAATGAAATTCGTTAAGTTTTGTATCGACTGTTAAACGATTTCTAACCAATTTCCCCCGCGAATTTAACGTTAAGTTCGGAAATTGAAATGTCAACCGTAAATAGTTTTGAGTTTGAATTCGAAAATTACTCCTCCTTAACATTTTAAATTTCTTGCTATAATTGGTTAGAAGTAAAAAGTCACTTGATGGTTTTAAAAACATTATAAATAGGCGGTTTCCTTTGAACCCTCTACTTTTTAATGAAGTTCTGTGCCTTTTTATCATATTGTAAGTGTATATGCTTACAATATCATAAAACGGTAATATGATGCCCGGCGGTAATGTACTGTATATGTATTTATATAGTGTATACAATACCGTCGTTAAAGCCAGGAAATTGGGACACTTGCACGGTACCACGCGCTTAAAGGAGCACCTTTAAAAAGTTTATTTTATTTATTTTTTTACACCATCCAGACACACAGTAATTAGGGGTAGCGGTCTATAGGAAATTCATTGAATACTAGCATATTAAGCGTTTAATCTACAGAAGAAAAATGGTAATCATCTAAAGGAACTAAACATTAAAGTATTTAATGATAATATTAATACATTGCAAAAAATATGCAAAAAATTGATACTAATTTAAGTTTAGTAATACCACTGTTAAAGGAATCAATAGATTATTTTAAAAATTTTAGAGAAAATGTTTTCCTAAAATCAAAATTAATAGCAAATGAAATTTGTACAGAATGCGACATTCCTCTTGTATTTGAAGAAATCGAAAACTTTTATTTGAAAACGAAGAAACGAATGCGTGGACAAATATTCCCGAAACAAATTTCTATAGGAACTATTTTTTAGCAATGGTACCGGTACATCGTGGAATAATCTCTACAGAAGAAAAACAAATTGAAGAGCATATTGCCTTTTTGGTTTTCTTTACAACGGAAGATGACCTTCCGTTGTAAAGAAATGTGCAATGTATGGATTTAGATTTAGCATTGAGAATACAAATGGTGACGATTTATATGACGAAATAAAAATATTTTCTGCTGCAATGATATAATTAATGCGACTCCGTTTCAATGTTTAAATATGCCGTTTAAAGTTCAGAATTCAAACTTCCTAATTTAGTTTATTAGATTACTATTCCATCAAATTTCTATTCTTGAATTGAAGAAAACGGAATTTTCCTTCAGTTCATATATCCCTTCTTGGATGCATCTAATAAAACTTTTGTGGAAGGAAAAGCTTTATTACATGCATCCTATTTTGTATCAGAGTTTATTTTTGTTTTTTGGACATTCTGAGGCTTATGTTTTAATTTTGCCTCGAATCTAACTTTTAGTTTACGAATTCTATTAACCATTCCTATTGCTTCTGCATCGGCTGAATGCAGATTTTCTAAATTAAAAATATTTAAAAATTATCTACGCACGACATCGTCACAAGAAAATCCCTTTAGTTCGTAACTGTACTTTTGTTCCAATGGAGGATATAGAGATTTACATGTTAATGAATTCGCTTGGTTCAAAATACGGCTATTTCGAAATTAGAACTAAAATTTAATCCGAACTGTGATATGCCTACGTTAACTCGTTCGCTTAGATCAAAAAGTCTCCATGCCATAAGAGAACAATAGACACACAACAACTGTAATCTAGTAAATATAACTTTGCTTTTACAGTAATACATTTTCGGGTGTAACCTTACTTGCGGCCCCCCAGTGGCCAAGCGGTTCCGTTCCCTAACACCTAAACACTGGGAGTTCGCTCGTGGGTTTCGCGCCTAGCCAGGACGGATTGGCCACGTAAAGTTTTCCGGGTTTAGTCCACGTTTGTAACGTCTGAATAGGGGCAAGTTACCCTTAAAAACACATTTCTCCCAGGCAATCGCCCAAGTGTTGCGCGTTGCCATAACTTAACAAAACAAACAAACAAACACCTGCGAACTACCCTTTTTTCTCTAATCTCATAAAATACAGCTGGGCTGGTTTTCGAGATTGCAAGATTGGGCCACAAGTAACAGATTGAGATATTTGTAGGGCTCTAGGCTGCTACATTTCGGCGTCTTACTACTTTTTGGGCCACTTTAAAGATAATTTGGGATACATTTCGAGGAATTCTGCTTTACTCTTTATAAAACTTATCTGGAAACCTGTGAGGTTCTCACCGGACACGTGCTGTTTACCTTCACATTTATATTATTATTAACTAGCAGGTGGGCCCGGCGTTGCTCGGGCAAAAGTAACGATAACTAAGATAAAGATTATTACGTTACAGTCAACCTTACCCGTTTTCACAGAATTCAAGAATTGGGTCCCCTTGTTTCCAGACTAATTAGAGAATTTTAGATGGGTCTAAAAATATGTTCGATTTCCCGCAAAAACGAAAAAAACTGCATCTGCGTATTGCACGTCGCTTTCTCTTAACAATTTCCTTGTTACGTAGCATTTCCATTTTGACACTTCCATTGTTACTTAACACTTACATTGTTACTTAACACTTCCATTGTTACTTAAAACTTCCATTGTTACTTAACACTTCCATTGTTACTTAACACTTCCATTGTTACTTAACACTTCCATTGTTGATGGAAGTGTTAAGCCTTAATCCTGTCTTTCTCTCCCCCGGGGAGGAATTTCGAAAAATCCCTTCTTAGTGTGCGTTCTCGTGATGTACCCTAACTGTGTACCAAATTTTAACTTTCAACTCCTGTTTGGGCTCGTATCCATAATGTATATAGAAGACTTAATCCTGTCTCTCTCCCCCCCGGGAGGGAATTTCGAAAAATCCCTTCTTANTTATCAACCCGTCTCGATTATATATATAGATTGACGAAAATAGCGTCTGTATACGAATTCGTATTATGTTTATTCAATAAATTATTGATACATCAGTTACATGGCATTTGACATATTGTACAGTATATGTAAACCTCGAATAATTCGAAGTCGCGATTAATTAGTCCCTTGAATTTCGAACTAACAGAATTTCCTGTAATGATATAAATAACTAAATTAGTACTTATTTTGTACAGACACAATGAAGTGACGTTTTTCTCAACACTGGGCTAGTTGAATCTTTTATTTAGTTAGTAAAAGTAACGATAACTAAGATAAAGATTATTACGTTACAGTCAACCTTACCCGTTTTCACAGAATTCAAGAATTGGGTCCCCTTGTTTCCAGACTAATTAGAGAATTTTAGATGGGTCTAAAAATATGTTCGATTTCCCGCAAAAACGAAAAAACTCCTGTTTGTTTTAACTAAATAAAATGTTTAACTAAATAAAATGTCTAACTAAATAAAAGATTCAACTAGCCCAGTGTTGAGAAAAACGTCACTTCATTGTGTCTGTACAAAATAAGCAAATACAACACGGTTTCGATAACATCAATAAATTAGTACTATAGAAACGGCAGCACCGCTTTCTTTCTCAATTTTTTTTTACATAAACAGACGTATTTGAGAGCCATTTGCAAAACAAATATACGTTGTTGCTGCTGATCCATATTAAAAACTCTATAAACAAAAAAACCGTAGGACTACTTACCGACTCTGCATCATCCTGGCCTCCATTCATTAAACTCGTGTCCGTCGTAGAGGATCACTTTGGACGGCGGGCGCGCTAATTTGGCACACATAAAACGCGTCACGTGGTCTGGTTCGCCGTCACTCATATCAGCCACGTGACATCACTGATATCCTGAGAAATTTTTGGACTTTCTATAGTTAATATAATTACGAATTGACGTTTAAAATGAGAAAATTGGGTCCGAAGATTTGTAAAACGTATTCATAAAGTAATGAATCGAGTCGAAAACACTCGTATAGGCTACGAAACATATTTATATTTTAAATTAAATAAACGTCTTTATTTATGCTAGTCAACTTAGCAATATAAGTACAAATAATACATACAGATGAAGATATCAGAAATTACATAAATGAGTAAAGATAATGCATAAATAATGATTATTGTCATTGAAATATAGCAACAAAAATTCATTAATTTGACGTAAAAATATATCCAACAGTGGCCAAGTGGTTATGAACACTAGTTGGTTATGGGATCACGACTCGTCAAAATCAAGAAATCTCCACGTGGCCAGCCCATGTGGAATTTCCCGTTTGTAACACTTATGGGCAGTCTCCCATAGAAAGTTCTCCCGGAAGTCATCCCTCTCGGCTGATCGCCCATGTATCGCGTTGCCGTATACAAACAAACCAATCGATATGAAATATACGATATTCAAACATAATACGTCGAAATTTTTATACATAGAAAATTGTAATTACAAGTAATTTAGGAATAAAATCATTTAAAATTTTAAATGACAAATAAACGCTACTTAAAATCTACTCCCAACAAATTGACATGAATTTGGTCTATCCGTTCATTTGATTGATATTAAATGAAATTTTTATGTCGGAATATGAAAAATAAAAGCAAAATTCTTCAAAATTGCATGTTTTACAGTGGTGAATATTTTCCTTCCAGACACTTTAAATTTGGATTAAAAATTACACAGAATGCAGATAATACAGAATTTCATTTTTTATTATACTGTATATTCATCTATAAATACAGTTAAATATAAGTTCGAAATTTATGGCTTTACAATCTATTTAAAGTTGTCAAAATCAGTTCATTGGATGATGTAAAATGAAGAGACAGAATTTATCTCTAAACAACAAACATCAGAAGTGATTGCTGTATTACATTTGAATATCCATTTACGTATCATCCTTCCGTCACATCCGAGATTTTAAAGTCGTCATATATGCGGGGCAAACTGTCACATTCGATTTATTTGTCAAATCCAACTGTTACTGTCAAGTCCGGGTTAAATGTCCAATCCGGGAGTCTGTCACAAATCGATAAAATGCTTTTCACTTGACCGACGCACAGTGGGGCGAAATCCCAAAAAGCTGGCCAAAAGTCAAAAGCGTTATCAATTTGGCTGAAAGTCAGTATTCGAGGGTTTTCGGGATCGCTGATTACGAATCCGAAGTCAAAATTTTAAATAGAAGCAAAATGACGGATTTAACACGAACTACTTTTATAGAAAAAGTACAAAATAAATCTATATATTGTTTAATACGATAAAACAGACAATCGGTTGATTAAAAGTTCACGCATCGTCATCCAGAGAATAATTTGAATTTGAATAGAAACACATACATCACACTACAGAAGGCCTCTATATTGAATACACGTCATATTGTTAGGAAATTCCTGAATACAGACACACAATGACACGCTTATTTAATTTTTGTCTTTTTTTTTGAAGTTACTATGCCTTGACTCTGGTCTGGCATAGTACACAGCCATCAGTGTCCACCTAGTGTAACTCACAAAACTCAACATAATTGAGTTTTCTGGTTTATGGCATTACGAAATTCTATTAATAGTATCATATCATACGTCATTGAGAGGAATAACATTTTGGTGTGCCGTATTGAGTCATGTCGAGTCATAGGTGTGCCGCAAGTAGAAAAAGGTTGCGGAACACTGCTCTAAACCAAGGTTTTACTATAGTATGATTATGAATATAAAAAGTTGTTTTCAGTGGCGTAGCGTAGTGGGGACGGCAAAATTTCACAATAAATAATAATATTTGTAAAAATTTGAACCATTTCATTTCATATTTTTGTCGCACCTACGATCCGGACCAATTGAAACGAGCACGGAATTTTTCATTACTTATTCTGTGACGAAACTGAATTTTAGTCTTTTAAATTGAGATACTTAAATGAGGGGGCGACGAAATTTTCCTCCGCCCCGGGAGGCTGATACCCACGCAACGCCACTGGTTGCTTTACAAAAAATACAGCAACGAATTGTGTAGCTTTCCCGGCAAAAAAGTTAAAGTTGTGTGTAGTGCCATCTGTCAAATTTTTTAATTATTAATTATCATAAAATGGTAAAAAGCTTATTTCGAGGGCAAAGATGAATTTTACGAAAAAAATGTAAATGCTAATAACAGGTAAATTTTTCACCAAGTCCGATCCCATTCGAGAAGTGACACACGACCCCCTAAAAATTCTCTCCCACTACTGGGAAGAAGAATTAAACATTTCCCACCACTAAAGCCTAGCTTGAGGAGAAAAAATAATTTCATTTCCAGACACATAGCAAGAAATTTTCAGAGTTTTAAGCTCTTATGCTGTAACTGACGTCACTAAAGAAAGATTTGAAAAAGATGTAAAGTGTGGCCGTCAGCCATGATATGATATATTCCCTATTTATATTGCATTAGTATTAGAGTTTCCTCTTTCTTTGTCTAAATCCTTCTAGAACTTTCTTTTCTCTAAACCTTCCTAGAACTTTCTTTTCTCTAAACCTTCCTAGAACTTTCTTTGTCTAAACCCCTTTTGCCGTTGGGGGAGGATTACCCTCTTCGTAGAAATAAAGAACAAAGGAAAAGGAAGTGAGGCCCGGAAGCAAAACGGAGAGAAAGGGTAGGAGATGGAGTGGAGATCTTGGGTTCATCGGAGAAAAGGTGACCAGCCAGAATCTCCATATTAGAGAAGAAAGAAAGAAAGTGGAGATCTCGAGTAGGTAGGAGGTAACATAGAGGTGCTCCTACAAGTAAGAAGTGATCTGAGACGAAGCAGTCCGAAAAAAAAGAGGACTGTAGACGAAAAGTCTACAAGTGAGAGGTGATCGAAGACGAGAAAGTACAGAGAGAGATCCTCTGGAGAAGACGACTCAATCCGAAAGAAAAAGACTGTAGACGAAAGGTCTACAAGTAAGAAGTGACCTAAGACCAAAAAAAGTGCAGAGAGAGATCATCGAGGGAAGGCCTCTTAGTCCGAAGTGTTCTCCAACCAAGGGCTCATCGCAAGAAACCCGGGTATTTCTACTTCTTTCCTTGTCTATCTCTATATCCTCTATTCTTCCATTTTTAGTTATAAGTTAGTGTAAGTTAGCGTAAGTTAGTGTAAGTAATTACGGTCCTCGTCAGATTGTCGCATGGGTGCAAGATAACTGTTTTTGAGGTGTACCATTGAGCGCCTGTATACGTATAAAATTCTGGAAATTGTAAAGTTGGGATCCAATAAACGAACCTGTTCAGTGAGAAAAATAATACTGTGTGTTAAGATTCTTTTTTTTGTACCATTTCGCTCGCGGGATCGTGTACCTCTCACTCAGAACACCACAAAAGATTCAAGTGTGGTGGAGTGGCATAATTACAATGTGGTCTATGTGAAAGCGAGGGACAAACATGTTGGGAACTCGCACGACATCTAGCGATTTAGGTTTTCTTCACTTGAACAACTTGTTCACTATACATTTAGAATTCTTGCATTGTTTGCTAATTAAGAATTAATTAAAAGACATTTTGTATTATTTAATAAATTTTTTTTGTCAATATTGATCACAAAGCCATTCTGTTTTCATTTTACAATTACTTTATGATGAGGGCCAACCGGTAGCCAGTGGCAGTTGGTCGTGAGCTCACACCTTGTCAACGGACTGGACATGTGGGGGTTTCGGGTTTTCTTCATGTTTGTAACATCTAAATAGGAGCCAGTTTCCCATTAAAGACCTCTAGGGAGTCGTTCCTGCCATTGGTAGATCACCCATATATGTTGTCGTAAATGATTAAAATCTAAATCTTTATGATGAGACCAAATTAAATTCAAAGTATTGACACAAGACACCACTGTACTGTTCAAATAAATGTTATTTTGCTTTTTTCATGATCATATATAAAAATTTCATTTTACACAGTACTAAAATATAAAAATACCTTGTGTAATACACAATATAAAATTTGTATATTAAAATCAAACAACAACAAACCATTAATCAAAAGTCAGATTTTATATTTATTTTATACACAGTATAAAATCTTTTACCAAAAGTACATACTGTTTACTTCCTTATTGCTGTATTATTTTAGATACACTTCAGCTATATTCAGTCCAATTGAATAATCAATACCTGTATGCAGTTAAGTTGTATTATGAGCTTATTTCTCTGTATGAAGTAGAAAATAAAAATTTTTCAACTTTGTATCCGTAAAACCTTTCCACAGAAAGTCTGCTTTATTTTCTTTGACATCATATCCTTCACTGTAATGAAATGATTTATATTTTTAATGATCATTTTATTTTAGTATCAAATATAAATAAAAAATAGATACTACATATTATGCTAATAATATATCTATTTATCTATGTGTGTATGTGCTTGTATATAAAACAAAATTGAAGAACTTCTATCACACTTTTACAGGGTATTTAAACATTATAGGTCTACTCTGTAAAAGTGCAATAAAAGTACTTCAATTTTGTGTTTTATTTATACTTTAAATGTGTTCTTATCTTATGGTATATGTCTTGTTGATTTTAATAATGTATTTGAAGATTTGAAAGTCAAATGTGTATTTAATAATTTTATTGTTAAAATTGGGAATTTAATTGTACTTTTATTTTGTACAGTTTAATATGTAACAACTGTATAACAACTGAAGAGGGATGAGTCCAAAATGCATTTTGTTAAAGATACTTAAAAAGAATAAAAAAAGAGTTATAACACTCAGAAGTCGTGACAAGTTTGAGAAGAAAAATCACTATTTAGGTTGCTGAAATAATAATTTAATACAAATCCAAACGACAAACTAAATGATGGCTTGTTAAGTTAATTCTTCACTTTTGTTGATCTTCCCATAATGTTTTTATTTTCTTGAGATCAACAGTTTATAAGTTCACTGTGAGGTTTGGTTGGTACTGGGCTTGGGATGATGTGATTGACAAGATGGATGAAAGGGATCACAGTTCTTGAAATATCAAACACTCTACTGCTCGGCAGTCTCTATTTTTCTTCCAAGTCCCTCAGTGATAAGGTTGGATTTTGGTTGATAGACTGATATTAAGTGAATAGAAATATATCAATGATACACAGTTCAGGAAGAAGAAGCAGTTTTAAGATGAAAGATTGGAGAAGCATGGTTTTAGAAGCATGTTATGACCTTGAGATATGAGTTTATATGAATTTTAGTCATGAACCAAACAATTTAATTGGTCCCCAATCCTTCTCTTTCCTCCCCAATTGTCTCCAGGTAGAATGAGACCCATTGAGCCACAAGAAAGATCGAATCTTGATTTTAATCCGACACCACATCTTTGATCTCAGACAATGGGATGTTTAAACAAACTTTGGAACTTTTATTTGTATTTCTAAAAGTTTTATTTTCTCTTCTGTCAAAAACTTCTATAAGACATTTCATGATAATTATTTATTGATTGAAATATCTTATAGTACTCCGAGTTTGTGTAATTTTGTCATATTTACAAGTACCCAAGCCAAAGTTTGTCTTTCCTATTCAACATATGAACTCAACACTAGTATTGTGTTTTATTCCAAAGACACATGGCAAATTTTCCATCAAATTCCTTTATTAGTTGAGTCGATATGGTACATTGTTTTGTAATTACCACCATCATATCAAAAAATGGAGAGCAGACTGTTAACCTCGAACCAGAAGAAAAACCAGCAAATACCGACCGAAAACCAAGGTGTAGTATATAAAATTCCATGTACCTGCGCAAACAAAAAACATTACAAAGGAGAAATAAAAAGAAAAGTAAAAACAAGACTGAAAGAACACATAGCGGACCTAAAATACAATAGAATAAATTCTGCATTTTACGAACATTGTACTATAAACAACTGTAATATAGATAACGATAACGTAGAAATACTGCATAAAGAAAAATTAACGTACAACAGGAAGTTTAAAGAAACCATAGAAATCATGAAAAGTAAAGACAGCATAAATAAAAACTTAAGTCTTAAAATAAACGAAAACTGGATTAATATATTATAAATAATATTTTTATAATAATATTTTTTTCTATCGAACGTCATACATGGCAACACTTAAGATACCAGCGCATAGGAAAAAATAAAAAGGGGGTGGAAGGTAAAAAGGGGGAGGAAACAGCTAAAAATTTTTTACAGTTGTGTTGTATCGGAATATGCCTATAAGAGAAGATTTTAGAATATTTTAACCTTTTAATTTATAATATATACTAGTTTTACAAAGATTAAAGCAGATTTTACATGTTTTTAAATTATACAAAGTGTAACCAAAAGTTACTACGTCTATATATCGTTTATGTACTCATTGTTTTATGTAAATTCTCTACTGTAATAAGTTAAAATATATATATTGTATTTTAGTTGACTGAAGAGGAGCAAAGCCCGAAACGAGTACAAAACAATGTACCGTATGGACTCAACTAATATAGGAATTTGATGGAAAATTTGCCATGTGTCTTTGGAATAAAACACAATACTAGTGTTTACTACACCACAAATATAAAACAGAACACGGTTTCAAAAAAACAAATATGAACTCAAGTTGTTTGACACTCACATCTATTTTTTTTTCTTCACATTGTGTTTATCTAACAAAATTCTTTCCTCAGGTGGAAAACTTTTAAACAAACTTTTAGTGAGGGTTCAGACCTCATCTGAAACCTTACATATGTTTTTAATTAAGGTTTAATGTTTTTAGACTTTTGTGTAGTGTATGTGGTATAAATTTTGTGTGCAATTTTCTAATAATGCCTGTGGAGTATATTTGTAGTATATTACCTGGATGTTTAATCACAGCACTGGCTGGGGATGATTCCTACATCCAGCCTAAGAACAACTGTGCCACAGCACTCAGCCAGCAAACGTTTAACCCAGTGAAGTATATATATATATATATAAAAGTATAACACATCTCAATAGCCTGAAGAGTATATAGAAACATCTAACAATTGCCTAAATCATAATTATTAATTTAGTTAAGAGATGGTGCCTAATGTCTACCTCTAGTGGCAAATTACTTTGTATTAATTATTAAAATTTAGCACAATTGTAGCCTGATCATTTAGGCAATTGTTGGATGTTTCTATATATTCGTTGGGCTTTGAGATGTGTTATCTAATAATATAAGCCATTGATCATGCTGTTTGTATATCTGTAATTTGTAATCTGTAACGGAATGTCTAGAACAGGCACTAGAGGCGTCTCTAGCTATTATTTAAATTAATAATAAATTCAGTATATTATTATTTTTATTTGAAATAGGAATTTATTATTAAATGAATATTATAATGAATAATCAATATATATAATGAATAGCATAATGAAATCTTAGAAACCAAAAATGGATAAGATTAAGACAGTTTTCGACAAAAAAAAAACAAAAAAACCCACTATCTGCCATGTTGCAAGTATCTATATATATCGAGTATTATTATAGTATTTATAAGTATCTATATATATTTTTATTTGTAATAGGATTTTATTATTGATATGAATTTATTATTTATACCATGGAATGACACCACTGCTGCTAGAATGCCCACTAGGGGGTGTCCCAGGCTACTAGTACTTCATAATCTACGTGCAAGCTCTTAGTGTATTATATTTGCTATTTGATTATGCCTATGTAAATAATCTGTTTGTGTGAAGATATCACAACCAGAAGTTATATTATGTATTTTTTTCTGACAGAATATGGCATTTTTTTCAAGTCATTTTGTTAGTGATGTATTCTTCAGGATATGTTTTCTATAGTTTTTAGTTTTTATGACCTGATCTTGATTGTCAGCCATAAACCCCTCAGTTGTTTCAAACAGGCAGTCCCTAGTCATCCAATAGTTTGACAGTTTTGTCAATGTAGTCCTGAGCTAGGTCATAGGCATGCCTTTTGGGTTCATGACTGCTTAATGGTGTCTATGTTATTTGTGTGTTGAGCTATGTCCAGGTACTTAGAGTGTAAGTTTAAAGGTTTGTGGTTACTATCTGCCAGGGTTATAATTTTATGTAATCTTGATGTTTTTTGTTTTTTGTGGAAAAACTCCTGCAGTGTCAGAATTTGTTTGTAGTTCAGGTTAACTATATTATTAAGGCAATAGCCACCTCCTCACAAGGAAGTGTAAATCTTTCTATGGATGATTTTGGATGATATTGTTTATGCTTAGTAAGTATTGTTCTGGAGTTGCTCGAGATCTGTGCATATCCAGTTTAAAAGTCCAGAAGTGAGTACAGGGACAGCATATGTATTTAAAGCTTTAATACTATGTTTTGATTTAGGTGGGTTGTAAGTCTGCATGTAATCTGTTCTGGTAATTGAGTGTCAATCTTTGCTTTATATGAATGTTTTGTAAGTTTGGCCTATTGGAATCCTAAATATTTGTAAAACTTGTCCTCTTCCATGGATTTGATAATATCTCCACTTTTGAGTATAAAATCTGTTTCTTTTTCAATGTAGTGTGTTTGGTATTGTCTAGACCAGTGGTTGTTAACCTAGTCCCTATTGCCCATTAGTGGGAAATTTAAGTTTTCATGGTGGGTGGTAGGGTAATTAATTAAAGATAATTTCAGTAGACTTTATACTTTTACATTTTTCTTTTTCTTCAATTTAAACAGCTTCTGCACTAGTAGGCATTGTATCAATGAAGATGCAGAAATGCAGCATGAAATTAAATTTTGTGTATTATAAACACATGCAAAGTATAAATAAAAAAATAAATTTAACTACATACTTTTACTGAACCTCCACTCAAAAATTATGACTACTTTGCAGTTGCTCAAAATTAAGTTACTGCGAAACTGGTGAGCAATTAGAAAATTTTACTACCAACAAAGATACAAAAGTGAATGGTAGGTATAAAAAGGTTGACTATCGTTGATTTAGATCAAACTCCATTTTTATATCATTTGAGTATGTACGTGTAGTTTCTAAGAGTTGTTGAAGCTGATTTTGCATGGATGCATAAAGTTTGATATCACATGGAAATGAGGTGAATAATGTGAAGTTTTGTTCTGTTGTGTCTGATATTGTAACCCTATTGTGTTTAGTTCAATGTGCTAGATTAAGTGCAAAACAAAATCAAAGAGGATTTAAGGAAACTCCTTAAAAAATTCCTTGCTTTTGATTTATTTTTTATGTGAATGTTATGGCGGTTAAGATGTAATGTTGTTCTCCAGTGAAGCATGGTAAAATCAAGGTAACTAATGAGTTGGGGATGAATTCTGTAGATGCAAAGCAAGAAGTATGTGAAGAAGCTAAGTGTGTGTGAGACACTGTCAAATACTTTTCTATAATATATATGCCATGTATATGTTTCTGTGTTGCTTATGGACTTGCCAAGGATAACAGAGTCAATGAGTAGTAGTTCTTTGCAACCTTTGTGATTTCTACAGCAGCCTTTTTGTTGTTCTGTAAGAATATTGTGTTTATCAATATGATTGTATATTTTGTTTGCAATGCAAGCACTAAGAATCTTGTAAAGTGTTAAAACACACGTAATTGGTCTTTAAGGTGCAGGTTCTTTGATGTTCTTGTTTTTTTGGTTTCATGTAGGTGATGCCGTACATGAGAAAATTTTGCATGTCTTGTGGATTAGGATGATATGAATTAAATGTTTAGCCAGTTCCTGGAGAACGAATGTGAATATTTTATACCAGAAATTGTGAATGTTGTCTACACCAGGTGTTGTCCAGTTGTGTGTTTCTGCATTGTGCAAGGGATGTCTTGTATATTTATTTCAACACAATGCATACTAGATGTATCCTGCATGTCTTTGCTCTCTTTGATCCAGGATGCTTCAGCATTGCACCTGACAGTAGTAGACTAAAGAGAAGACCAATAATTTGTGAGTTCTTCTTCAATTGGCAGGCCATTGTGTTGGGAATCAGTACTAGATTTGGTATTAATTTGCCTGTAAAAGTTTTTTGTTATTTGTGAATAATTTATTGTTTCTGCACAGAGAAAATTTTGTATCATTTGAGTCACTGTGCCTTGGCTGCAAGTTTTTGTTTCACTCAGTATGTCAATGTATTCTGCAATGTGGACATTGTGTAGTTTGTGCTTGGTGTGTGTTTTAATTTTCTTTAAAAATTTTTTAGTTGTTTCATTAATTTATGTGTTGTTTTGTTATTAGTGTATTTTGTCAGCCTGCCTAGCTGCTGTCTAATATTGTTTATTTGTGTTCTATTCTTCTTTGTCAGGCAGACTTCTGAAAGGTTTTGATCTGTGTGTTTCTGTTTTTATGTAGTTTTAGTCCATGGTAGATCACTACTGTGACTGTACCAACATAGATTAGTATGTGGATATTTGAGTGTCTGAAGAAATAGAATTAGTGCAATCTTGTAATATGTAAGTGTTCACATAATGTAAAGTTTTCCCTACTAGTTTATAAGTGTTGATTTTGAGAATATGTGGCCATTGTGCAGGATCAGTGCCTGTAAATTTTGTGAATGCTTCTTGGAAAAGAATAGAGACAATATGAATTAAACCTGAATTTATTTCAGGCAGTGAAGAAGTGTTGATATTGTCAGCATCAATGAAAATAGTGGTGATAGTGAACTGTATTGTCAATGCATGTATCTTAATGTAATGGATAATGTGTTTGTTGTTGATGTTGGGAGTATTTCTTTGTTGATGTAATTGTTCTGCAATTTGTTGTTTGGTATGTTCTACCACAGCAACGTTGTGAGTGGTGAGAGAGTTGTTATTATCACAGTGACATTCCATTAACCCAGCATCATAATGAACACAGTGCTCAGTTATCGAATCTGATGACTTATCAGACAATGAAACTTTTCCTTTTTTTTTTTTCAATTCTCTGAATGCAATTTTACATATATCTTCACATGCAAAACTGTACAAATCCACTTTTTATGATTGTTTAACACACCATTTCAATTTTTCCATATTATTCCCACTCTTGGTTAGTTTCAAACAAGAACACACTAACTAGAATCTTACTTTGTGCTTTGTACACTTTTATAGAATGTAGAGTAGATATAGATCTACTCTACATTCTATATCTATATCATATATATTTTACATTTTAAAAGCAAAATGTTCCATTACCACCAGAACCGAACCAAAACTAACACTTTATAAAGAAGTGCTATAAATAGAGACTCAACTCCAACTGCCTAGATGAAATATAACCAAATCAATCAAGATGGACAACAAGTACTTTATCTACACTTTCTGAAATATTACATTTCGATTAATTTGACTTTAATTTCAATTTAAATTAATTCTATGTAATATGGGTGCTATTTAGTATAGATGTATATAAAATCACTTCAAATCTAAAAATTGGCTGATTTTCCCACAGCAACTCCAGTTTGGTGATTTAAGACTTTATTGTATAAATTTAACACAGATTATACATATGCATTTCGAGTTGTTGTGATGTCACAACTCCTCTTCAGTGCTGTTAAAGAGCAATGATATGATTAGAAAACTGACATTGTTATTATTTTTCATAAAGACTTTTTACAATAACACTTACATGTTTTAGAGAGAAAATAACATAATGGTCCATTTTCACTTTTGAATTATGCCATAAACATACATAAAAAGTTTTTCTAAATTACATAAAATATAATTAACTATAAAAGCATAATATAATGACAAAAACTCAATAAATTTTCAATTTTACTTCAAGTTTACGTCCAGTTTTATGTATCTATTGGTTTTTTTTTCACTTGTTATAAAGATGATGACTATATGCCAGTCCTTTCAGGTATAGCACCATATAAGCATGAAATGTTACAATACAATTTTTAAAACAATAAAACAGCAAAAAAGTATAATTGTACTTACAACTTATATTGTGCCTGTTATTATATAGGCTTACAAACATAAAACTTGTAAGTGCTATTGTAAAAAGTTTTTATGAAAAATAATATCAATGTCAAATTTCTAATCATATTGTTGTTCTTTAACAGCACTGAAGAGTTGTGACATTACAATAATCCGAAATGCATATGTATAATATGTGTTAAATTTATACAATGAAGTCTTAAATCACCAAATTGGAGTTGCTGTGGGAAAAATCAACCAATTTCTGAATTTAAAGTGATTTTATACACATTTAAATTAATTCATTTTATTTTATTTTTAATTTTGGTTTTGGTTTCTGTTTCAATATAAAACCCAGTTTTAAATTTTTTAAATTTTAATTTAGTTTTAAATTTAATTATTACTTATAATTTTAATTAACTGGCTACCTAGTTATGTATAAATACAGACAAATACCCAGTGCACCAATACTCCTCAACCAAAAGATGAGCTGGACATGCAAGCTTATCAGGTTTGCTGGCAACCCAGCATACCAGATGCCATGTTAAAAGAATTTCACTGTCTTAGTATTATTATTTGCAGTATTTTCATTAAAAGTATAGTTAAAGCAGATTTTGACTTCATTTAGAAAATAAAATTTTCTTTACCAGATTCTCTTCTGTTTTTGTTTCCAAATAGTTGCTGACGTTTCCAATTTTTTGCACTTTCAGCTACTGAAGTATGCTTCTTGATGAAACTATTTGCTCTGCATACCATAAATTCAGTATTTCTAAAGTTAGAAAGAAAGAAATAAATGTTTTACTTTAAGCAAAAATTGAAATAAAAAGCAATTTCATAAACATTTAAACTGTTTGTTTATTTTCTAAATGTTTATATTTTTTATTGAATTTTACATTATTATTAATACATTAAATAATAAAATAAGACTCTCTATAACCAATAACCAGTGCAAGTATGGCTAAGCAATAAGAAACAAACATTTTCATAATACCCAAAACCCAGAACACCTCAAGTGGTTAGAGACAGTCGAGATTTTTAAGGCCTACTCCAAGTCCACATGCATTAATTTAGGGAAGAGATGTCTCTATCAATGACGTGGCAGGCTTTACTTGACAGTGATATTTAGTGTTCAATCTTATTTAAAGATGACATTTGAAATGTATGCACATAAATTCCTTCATTTCAACTCTTCATCTTACTATTTGATTTTATATTCTCAAATGAATTTGGAAGATCCAGCTTATTTAGAATTATGAAAACCTGAAGAAGAACACAGAAGGGGTCATTAAAATGTTTGTTTCTTATTGCTTATCCGTACTTCGCACCAGTTATTGGTTGTAGAGAGTTTTATTTTATCGTTATCCCAGTGTCATATGCAGATGTGTACATTAAATAAATTAAAATACAAAATTTACATCAACTAACCCATGAATGCTGATGAATTCTTCTTGAGTTCCATCATTTGTAATATTGGAATATTCTATAAGAATATAAAAGACTTAGTTATATTTACTTTGAAGCTTTTTATACAATCAAACATAGACAACTTTACTAATTAAATAAATATTTTATTCATTGTCAAAAATTAAACTGATATAACATAAAATTAATATTTAATTCATTAAGAAACAAAGTTGACCTGATAGAAATTAAAATATTAAGTATGTAGATCAGACAGTGATTTATGGTATTATACCGTATATAAAAAATTATAAGAAATCTTAAATTGATAATTAAACAATAGAGATTAGACATAGTCTTCTTAGAGATGTTACAGCACTTTCCAGTTATACTCAAAAGATTTGTGTAGAAATCTGAATTCACCAGTAATCCAAAGTAATTTTAATGTTTGTTGAATTTTAAATCAAGTTTGCTGAGAAATTATACAAGTCTTGCATAATTTCTCTGCAGACTTCAAACTTGCATCAACTGATAGGTATTGGATAGGATAAATTCCATCAAATAAAATGTAAAGAAAAGCTGTGAAAGAATTGCTCACCAACAATATATAAATAAATTGACAGCAAAGGTGATTAAGACATCAGCCTAATGCTCTGAAGATCTAGGACTGAACCTCGGTGAACATTTTCCCAGGAATTTTTGTGGCAGTCTGTTCCAAATATGTCAGGCCTTGTGTGTTTCAGATTTTTAAACAGAAATAGAGAAATAAACAAAATATCCAATTTAAGTGAACAAAAAGGATAAAACCTTCAAAAGTGCTTAGCAGTAAAACCAGAGGAAAGGAGAAACTAATAATACACCCTCCAAACAACTGTAATCTTAATAAAAAATCATTTGGAAAAATTACTCAAAAATATAAAAGAAATTAATTTCTTTTTTACAGATATAAATATAAACATACCTTTATTATTTTCACTTGAAAGTCTTAGTTTCTTTGGCAAAGATTTTTCAACATTTTTACTTGAATATTTTGATTTTTCTAATGTAGCCATATCATCTAATATATTTTGAGGTAATTTCTTAGCTTCCAAATTTAATATTTTCTTTATCTAAAATGATAGAAATATTAATTTTATAACAATTCTGTATTTATTTTTAATTTATATTTTTAGTATTGTGACGATCCGAAACCCTTTTGTTTTAGAACAGTATCACCTTTCTAATAAACTTCGTGATTAGGTAAAAAGGGAAAAAGAGGGACTTCTGAGGTCGATGACCGAGACGATCTCCTCGAAAAAATCATTAGTATATAAATAAACGAAATCTCCTCCATTTGTTTAAAGGTAATTCTATAGACGTTAATATCAACAAGACACGTATAAGAGATGTTTCTTATCGCCTCTTGGCTGTACGTAACATGTGGTTACGGCAATAAATCGTCTCCTTCGTAGTCAAACGCGACATTTGATATAAACAATATCTAGATAGTTGACCAGGTTAAAGAAATTATTGCCAGATAAACGTTAATTTATGGATGAGAGCCGTCAAACCTATAGAAATTTATATTATAAAATCATATCTTCTAAACACTGATAGCAATAAATTAAACAAACTTCTCTGTGTCAGTTGTCAGAACTAGCTAGATCCAGACATCAACACACGAACAGGTGTGCGTATAATTCAATAATGATGTCACAGTTCTCACCCCCTCAAAAATAGTATAAAGAGGGCTTGGATGCAGTCTACAGGGCGGACATCAACTGCCACATCTACTGACTCATACTGTCACCCTATCCGTCGCTAACTCGCCATAACTGCCGTGACGATCCAGGAACGTTTTTACCAACGACCCATATTACGGATCGGGAACTTAGAGGTATTTGTTTTTGGATATCTATTTGTATACTCTCTCTTTCTGAGAAATCTCTCTCTCATCTCTTAACTTAGAGAATACAGATTAGATGTTTCATATGAAAGACAAATCATTATTGCGACATAGAATAGAATTTTTGTAGATCTTCATCTTAGCCTTTGCTACGTACAATTTTATAATTGTTTATTAAATGTGTTATTCTTGTTCAACCTGTGTATTCATTTGGGAACCTGTCAACTTACCCATTAACATCCCCAATCATTTCATTTTGCCCTCCTATAAAGCCATCCTCTGACAGAGCCGCCAGTAAGTGGGGACAACTAACCCCCTTGGTTCTCACAGTATGTTTTAATAAGATAAGGGCATGCTGTTGAGATTCCAGTACAGAGTACTAGAATTTAAATTTATTTATTGGTTGGGTGGTAGGGTAATTAATTAAAGATAATTTCAGTAGACTTTATACTTTTACATTTTTCTTTTTCTTCAATTTAAACAGCTTCTGCAATAGTTGGCACTGTATCAATGAAGATGCAGAAATGCAGCATGAAATTAAATTTTGTGTATTATAAACACATGCAAAGTATAAATAAAAAAATAAATTTAACTACATACTTTTACTGAACCTCCACTCAAAAATTATGACTACTTTGCAGTTGCTCAAAATTAAGTTACTGCGAAACTGGTGAGCAATTAGAAAATTTTACTACCAACAAAGATACAAAAGTGAATGGTAGGTATAAAAAGGTTGACTATCGTTGATTTAGATCAAACTCCATTTTTATATCATTTGAGTATGTACGTGTAGTTTCTAAGAGTTGTTGAAGCTGATTTTGCATGGATGCATAAAGTTTGATATCACATGGAAATGAGGTGAATAATGTGAAGTTTTGTTCTGTTGTGTCTGATATTGTAACCCTATTGTGTTTAGTTCAATGTGCTAGATTAAGTGCAAAACAAAATCAAAGAGGATTTAAGGAAACTCCTTAAAAAATTCCTTGCTTTTGATTTATTTTTTATGTGAATGTTATGGCGGTTAAGATGTAATGTTGTTCTCCAGTGAAGCATGGTAAAATCAAGGTAACTAATGAGTTGGGGATGAATTCTGTAGATGCAAAGCAAGAAGTATGTGAAGAAGCTAAGTGTGTGTGAGACACTGTCAAATACTTTTCTATAATATATATGCCATGTATATGTTTCTGTGTTGCTTATGGACTTGCCAAGGATAACAGAGTCAATGAGTAGTAGTTCTTTGCAACCTTTGTGATTTCTACAGCAGCCTTTTTGTTGTTCTGTAAGAATATTGTGTTTATCAATATGATTGTATATTTTGTTTGCAATGCAAGCACTAAGAATCTTGTAAAGTGTTAAAACACACGTAATTGGTCTTTAAGGTGCAGGTTCTTTGATGTTCTTGTTTTTTTGGTTTCATGTAGGTGATGCCGTACATGAGAAAATTTTGCATGTCTTGTGGATTAGGATGATATGAATTAAATGTTTAGCCAGTTCCTGGAGAACGAATGTGAATATTTTATACCAGAAATTGTGAATGTTGTCTACACCAGGTGTTGTCCAGTTGTGTGTTTCTGCATTGTGCAAGGGATGTCTTGTATATTTATTTCAACACAATGCATACTAGATGTATCCTGCATGTCTTTGCTCTCTTTGATCCAGGATGCTTCAGCATTGCACCTGACAGTAGTAGACTAAAGAGAAGACCAATAATTTGTGAGTTCTTCTTCAATTGGCAGGCCATTGTGTTGGGAATCAGTACTAGATTTGGTATTAATTTGCCTGTAAAAGTTTTTTGTTATTTGTGAATAATTTATTGTTTCTGCACAGAGAAAATTTTGTATCATTTGAGTCACTGTGCCTTGGCTGCAAGTTTTTGTTTCACTCAGTATGTCAATGTATTCTGCAATGTGGACATTGTGTAGTTTGTGCTTGGTGTGTGTTTTAATTTTCTTTAAAAATTTTTTAGTTGTTTCATTAATTTATGTGTTGTTTTGTTATTAGTGTATTTTGTCAGCCTGCCTAGCTGCTGTCTAATATTGTTTATTTGTGTTCTATTCTTCTTTGTCAGGCAGACTTCTGAAAGGTTTTGATCTGTGTGTTTCTGTTTTTATGTAGTTTTAGTCCATGGTAGATCACTACTGTGACTGTACCAACATAGATTAGTATGTGGATATTTGAGTGTCTGAAGAAATAGAATTAGTGCAATCTTGTAATATGTAAGTGTTCACATAATGTAAAGTTTTCCCTACTAGTTTATAAGTGTTGATTTTGAGAATATGTGGCCATTGTGCAGGATCAGTGCCTGTAAATTTTGTGAATGCTTCTTGGAAAAGAATAGAGACAATATGAATTAAACCTGAATTTATTTCAGGCAGTGAAGAAGTGTTGATATTGTCAGCATCAATGAAAATAGTGGTGATAGTGAACTGTATTGTCAATGCATGTATCTTAATGTAATGGATAATGTGTTTGTTGTTGATGTTGGGAGTATTTCTTTGTTGATGTAATTGTTCTGCAATTTGTTGTTTGGTATGTTCTACCACAGCAACGTTGTGAGTGGTGAGAGAGTTGTTATTATCACAGTGACATTCCATTAACCCAGCATCATAATGAACACAGTGCTCAGTTATCGAATCTGATGACTTATCAGACAATGAAACTTTTCCTTTTTTTTTTTTCAATTCTCTGAATGCAATTTTACATATATCTTCACATGCAAAACTGTACAAATCCACTTTTTATGATTGTTTAACACACCATTTCAATTTTTCCATATTATTCCCACTCTTGGTTAGTTTCAAACAAGAACACACTAACTAGAATCTTACTTTGTGCTTTGTACACTTTTATAGAATGTAGAGTAGATATAGATCTACTCTACATTCTATATCTATATCATATATATTTTACATTTTAAAAGCAAAATGTTCCATTACCACCAGAACCGAACCAAAACTAACACTTTATAAAGAAGTGCTATAAATAGAGACTCAACTCCAACTGCCTAGATGAAATATAACCAAATCAATCAAGATGGACAACAAGTACTTTATCTACACTTTCTGAAATATTACATTTCGATTAATTTGACTTTAATTTCAATTTAAATTAATTCTATNATCTATATATATTTTTATTTGTAATAGGATTTTATTATTGATATGAATTTATTATTTATACCATGGAATGACACCACTGCTGCTAGAATGCCCACTAGGGGGTGTCCCAGGCTACTAGTACTTCATAATCTACGTGCAAGCTCTTAGTGTATTATATTTGCTATTTGATTATGCCTATGTAAATAATCTGTTTGTGTTAAGATATCACAACCAGAAGTTATATTATGTATTTTTTTCTGACAGAATATGGCATTTTTTTCAAGTCATTTTGTTAGTGATGTATTCTTCAGGATATGTTTTCTATAGTTTTTAGTTTTTATGACCTGATCTTGATTGTCAGCCATAAACCCCTCAGTTGTTTCAAACAGGCAGTCCCTAGTCATTCAATAGTTTGACACAGTTTTGTCAATGTAGTCCTGAGCTAGGTCATAGGCATGCCTTTTGGGTTCATGACTGCTTAATGGTGTCTATGTTATTTGTGTGTTGAGCTATGTCCAGGTACTTAGAGTGTAAGTTTAAAGGTTTGTGGTTACTATCTGCCAGGGTTATAATTTTATGTAATCTTGATGTTTTTTGTTTTTTGTGGAAAAACTCCTGCAGTGTCAGAATTTGTTTGTAGTTCAGGTTAACTATATTATTAAGGCAATAGCCACCTTCCTCACAAGGAAGTGTAAATCTTTCTATGGATGATTTTGGATGATATTGTTTATGCTTAGTAAGTATTGTTCTGGAGTTGCTCGAGATCTGTGCATATCCAGTTTAAAAGTCCAGAAGTGAGTACAGGGACAGCATATGTATTTAAAGCTTTAATACTATGTTTTGATTTAGGTGGGTTGTAAGTCTGCATGTAATCTGTTCTGGTAATTGAGTGTCAATCTTTGCTTTATATGAATGTTTTGTAAGTTTGGCCTATTGGAATCCTAAATATTTGTAAAACTTGTCCTCTTCCATGGATTTGATAATATCTCCACTTTTGAGTATAAAATCTGTTTCTTTTTCAATGTAGTGTGTTTGGTATTGTCTAGACCAGTGGTTGTTAACCTAGTCCCTATTGCCCATTAGTGGGAAATTTAAGTTTTCATGGTGGGTGGTAGGGTAATTAATT